CTTTTAAGTCTACTTCATTTAATGATCATTTATATAGGTAAAAATTTGCTGACATAGACTCTCATCTCTTCTCATGGGATGACATTCAGCAAAACCAGTTGAGTTTTACTTTAGAGAGAAATTTTCCATACTTACATCCTTTGTTAAAATTTCTGGTTGATTTTTTTTTTCTTTAACAGCTTTATCGAGGTATAGTTTATATGCAATAAACCCCACCTATTTTAAGTGCAATTTGATGGATTTTGGCAAATACATATAGTTCTGTAAATACCATTATATTCAAACTATAGAATGTTTACATTACTGCACAAAGTTCTTCATGCTTATTTTTAGTCAACTCTATCAGCTATGTCTAGTCCCAGACAATCACTGATCTACCTTCTGCTACTATATAGTTTCACCTTTTCTAACATTTCATATAAATGCAGTCGTGCAGCATTTACCCATTCGGTGGTTGGACATTAATCCTCTTACCAGCTGATGGATATATGGATTATTTCTAGTGTTTTGCTATGAACAATGCTATGAACATTCTCCTGTCTTTTTGTGGACATAGGTTTTCATTTCTCTCGAGCAGATGCCCAGGAATGGAATCGCTTTCTTATGTGATGGCTATTTTTTTTAAGAAAGAGCCAAATTGTTTTTCAAAGTGGCTGTTCCATTTTGCATCCCCACTAGCAGTGTATGAGCATTCTAGTTGCTCTGTAGCCTCATTAGTACTTGGTGTTGTTGGGTTTTAATTTTAGTCATGCTGGTAGATGTGCAGTTTTAAGTCTAAGGTATAGGTTTAAGTTTTAATTTCCTTGATGACTAGTGGTGCTGGGCATCTTTTCATATGCTTATAGGCCATTCACTTATGTATATATTTTTTAAGTATATAAACTTAAAACCCTGTCCAACATGGGGCTTGAATTTATGACTCTGAGATAAGAGTACTCTACCAACTGAGCCAGCCAGGTGCCCGCATTCATATATATTCTTTTGTGAAGTGTTGAGATCTTTACCTATTTTTTAATTGGGTTATCTTTATTGGTTATATTTGGTTTTAAGAGTTCTTTATATATTTTCAGTATAATTCCTTTTTCTTATGTCTTGGAAATATTTTCTCCCAGTACATAGCTTGCCTTTTTATTTTTATTTATTTTTGGATTTTATTTAAATTAAATCAAGTTACATTGTGTATTATTACTGTCAGAGGTAGAGTTTGGTGATTGATCCATCAGATGCATGTAACAGCCAGTGCTCATTACATCACATGCCCTCCTTAATGCCCATCGCCCAGTTACCCCATGCCCCCACTCACCTCCCCTTCAACAACCCTATTTGTTTATTTATTATACTTAATAATCTCTTGTGGTTTGTCTCCCTCTCTGATTTTGTCTGATTTTTTTTTCCCTCTCTTTCCCTTTGATCCTTTGTTTCTTAAATTCCACATATGAGTGAAATCATGTGATAATTTGTCTTTCTGTGATTGACTTCACTTAGCATAATACTACCCTCTAGTTCTGTCCATGTCATTGCAAATGGTAAGATTTCATTTTTTGGATGGCTGAATAATATTGTATATATATACACACCACATTTAAAAGTTTTTTTTTGTTTTTTTTTTTTTTAATTTAACAGATCACACGTAGGCAGAGAGACAGGAGGAAGGAGGCTCCCTGCTGAGCAGAGAGCTCGATGTGGGGCTCGATCCCAGGACCCTGGGATCATAACCTGAGCCAAAGGCAGAGGTTTATTAATGCACTGAGCCACCCAGGTGCCCCTACCACAGTTTTTTTTTTTTTTTTTTTTTTTTTGAAGATTTTATTTATTTGACAGATAATGAGAGAGGGAATACAAGGAGAGGGAGTGGGAGGAGGAGAGGCAGGCTCCCCACCAAGCAGGAACCTCGATGCAGGGCTTGATCCCAGGACTCTGGAGTCATGACCTGAGCCGAAGGCAGATGCTTAATGATTGAACCACCCAGGCGCACCTATTCCACGTCGTCTTTATCCATTTATCTATGGATGGATGTCTGGGTTCTTTTCATAGTTGGCTATTACAGACCTTGCTGCTAGAAACTGGGGGTGCGTAAGTGACTCTTCGGATCACTGCATTTGTGTATTTGGAGTAAATACCTAGTAGTGCAATTGCTGGGTCATAGGGTGGCTCTGTTTTTAACTTTTTGAGGAATCTCTGTACTGTTTTTCAGTGGCTTTTTGTTTTTAAAAATACCTTTGAAGAGCAAAACCTTCTAATTTTGAAAATAGTCTAATTTAGCAATATTTTCTTAATGGTTCATGCTGTTCATGTTGTATCTTAAATTTTTGCTTAATCCAGGGTTATAAAGACTCCCCCACCCCTTTTTTCCTTTCACTGGATTTATAGCTTTAGCTCTTAACACTTAGATTTATAATCCATTTGAAATACCTTGTCGGGGGAGGCACCTGGGTGCTCAGGAGGTAAGCATCCGACTTTTGATCTCACCTCAGGACTTGATCTCAAGGTTGTTAGTTCAAGACCTGTGTTAGGCTTCATGCTGGGCATGGAGCCTACTTAAAAACACAATAAAGTAAAATAAATTTTTTTTTGTATGGTGTGATATATAGTCAAAATTTATTTGTACTGAAACAAATAATACATTATATATTAATAAAAAATGTACTTGTAGATACCCATTCTTTTAAGCTTATGTTTAAAAGACTATCCTTTTCCTTCATTGAATTTCTGCATCTCTGTTACATTGACTATGAGTATGGGTTTCTTTCTGGACTCAGTCTTTTGTTTTATTGATTTATATCAAAGGTCTGCAAACTAACATCTGCAAGCCAAGTATGGCTCATGGCCTATTTTGTAAATAAAGTTTTATTAGCCTATGACCATGCCCATTCATTTAGGCATTACCTATGGCTGCAACAACAGAGACAGAGTTGAATAGTTCTGACAGAACTGAAAATACAAAGCTGAAAATATCTACTATTAGGCCCTTTATGGAAAAATGTTGTCAGCCCTTAATCTCTGTGTTTATCTGTATATCAGCTTTCTATTCTCTTGATTTTATCATTCTATTCTATCTCTCAAGTGTAAGTCTTCCAACTTTGTTCTTTTTAAAAATGAGCTATTTCAGGACCTTTGTATTTTAGGGTTCATTGAATGTATAGATCAGTTTGGGAGGAATTTATAAAAATGCCAAGTTTTTGGGTACATGAATGTGGTGTATTTTTCTGTTTATTGAGATTCCCTTTAATTTCTCTCAGCGTGTTTGTTTTTAGTGTACAAGCTTTGAACATCTTTTACTAAATTTATTCCTGAGAATTTACTATCTATTGGTTCTACTATAAATGGTATCTTTTAAAAACTTCATGTTTATTGTGTGTTGCTTACATATTGAAATGCAGTTGATTTTATGTATTGATCTTGTATACATTGCAGCCCTGCTAAATCTCCTCATTCTCCTAGTTCTGTAGATTCCTTAGGATTTTGTACATATATGATTATATCCTCTGAATAAAGATGATTTTACTTCTTTTCAGTCTACCTTAATCTTGCCTTAATCCACTGTTTAGAATCTTCAGTACAATGTTGAGTAGAAGTGGTGAGAGCAGACATCTTGCCTCATTATTGATCTTAGGTAGAATCATTTGTTTTTTCACTGTTAATATTCACTGTAGGGTTTTGAACTGTCTTTTTATATTAAGGATGTTCCTTTTTATTTCTAGGTATCTGAGATTTAAAAAATATATGAATGCCTGTTGAATTGTGTAAAATGTTTCTTCCATCTGTTTAAATGATCATATTTTTTTTCCCATTAGTCTGTGAACATAGTGAATTATATTGATTTTTTAAAAAATATTTTATTTATTTATTTGACAGAGAGAGATCACAAGTAGAGAGGCAGGCAGAGAGACAGAGAGAGGGGAGCAGGCTCCCTGCTGAGCAGAGAGCCCGATGCGGGACTCAATCCCAGGACCCTGAGATCATGACCTGAGCCGAAGGCAGAGGCTCAACCCACTGAGCCACCCAGGCGCCCCTATATTGATTTTTGTATGTTAGCTAAATTTGCTTTTCTTGTGGTAAAAACCCACTTGGTTGGGGCATCATGATCCTAGGATCCTAGAATCGAGTTTCATGTTGGGCTCCTTGCTCAATAGGGAGCTTGCTTCTCCCTCTTCCTCTGCCTGCTGCTCCCCTTGCTTGTGCTTGCTCTTTCTGTAAAAAAAATGGATAAATACTTAAAAAACAAAACCAACCCTCATAATTATGTTATATTCTTTTTAAATATTGTTGGATTTGATTTCTTAAGGATTTTTGCATCAGTAGTCATGAGGGATGAGGTCTGCAGTTTTCCTGTGATGTCACTGTTTGACTTTGGTATTAGAATAGTATTGGCCTTACAAAGTAAGTTCAGAAGTATTTTTTTGTTGTTGTTTTAAGATTTTATTTATTTGTGGGGGGGAGAGTGCATGCACATACAAGCAGGGGATTGGCAGGTAGAGGGAGAAACAGGCTCCCTGCTGAGCAAGGGACCCAGAGTGGTCTCCATCCCAGACCCCTGGGATCATGACCTGAGCTGCAGGGAGACGCTTAAGCTACTGAGCTACTCCAGTGTCCCTAGACGTGTTTTTTTTTTTTTTCCCCTAGTTTTTGAAAGCGTTTATATGGGATTAGTATTTTTAAATATTAAAAAGTTTCTTATATGTTTGAGTTTACTAGAGAAGCAGTCTGGGTTGCTTTTTGTCCTTTGGCTTTTATTAATAACTAAATTGTAAGAAATTCAGAGTTTCCTCTTAGCTCAATAAAAAGAGCAACTTCTTGGCACAAATAAATTTGAAAATACATCAGGCTTTATATGTTATATGTGGAAGGGACATTTATGAGAAGTTCGAGAGCTAGACTTTTCAGTTGTATTCTTTAAACAGAATAGGGAAATAATTTTATTATGTTTTAGCTAAATGTTTAATGCAGCCCTTACTATGAAATATTTGAATGCTTTCCACCTTTGTTTTTGTTAATTTTAGGAACTTAAAAGGAATCTAGAAGATCAAGCAGAAAGGAAAATGGAAGGTCAGAATTCCCAGAATCCTCAAAAGATCTCACAGTGTCTCAACACATGCTCAGAGCACAATGGTCATGTTGCCACAGTGCCACATACACAGCCAGTTCTGCAGTATGGTAATCCTTATGCAACACAGGAAGCCAGAGGTTATTAAAATAATTTTGGTTTGGGATTAACTGAATATTTTTTGGTTTGTATCTATCTTAATGGGAATTAGAGAACTGCTGGTACAGTTAATTCTAATAGAAACATTATCTCGTAACCAGTAATTTTAATGTTTAACAGTAACTGGGTTTGTCAAGGAGTCCTGCAGCACAAATGAGTAGTCTATTTGCTTATTACATATATTCTTATTTTTAGAAATCACTTGGGTTAAAAAGACATTTTTTGATGCATAAAAATGGTTCTTCATATCCTGTTCATCATAGCTGTACGTGGAGATTCTAATTATAGTACCAGGTTTCACTTCCAAAATTTTTATTTCAGATGGAGCAGATGGTGCTTTTTATCCAGATGAAATCCAAAGGCCACCTGTGAGAGTACCTTCTTGGGGACTGGAAGATAATGTTGTCTGTAGCCAGCCTGCTCGAAACCTTAGTCGGCCCGATGGTTTAGAAGACCCTGAGGATAGTAAAGTAAATTGAATTTCTATTCTGAGCTTGTTCCTTTTATTTTTTGTTTCATGTAGAGAGTTCTGTTTGTGGAAAAGAGAGTGTGTGTGCTTGTGTATACATGTGGTTGTTTAATTTTTGGAAAAACCTGCTTGTATTTAAATTAAAAAAAAAAAACAACCATTAATATACTTCAGGATATTTACACTAATGTAAAAGATTAAGTTCAGAGAATGACCTCAATATCAAAGTTATCAGTTTACTCTTTAAAACAATTTTTTGAGATATAATTGATACAGACCTTTATTAGTTCAGGTGTACAACATAATGATTCAGTATTTGTATATATCATGAAAGGATTATAAATCTGGTTAATATTTGTTATCACATAGTTAACAGATTTTTTAATTTCCTTTGTGATGAGAACTTTTAAGATTTACCCTCAGCAACTTTCAAATATTTGATAAATTATTAGCTATAGTCACAGTTTAATTATCACTAAGTAATTTACTATGTTCTTTCGATTGCAGATGTAGTTGGTTGGAAGAAGCAGTGTTAATGACAATATTATGCTTTAGTATACTGCATCTTTTAATTTTAGCATTTATACCCCACTTTAAATTTTAAGGTGGACTATATTATCTTCAGAAAAGAGAAGTGTAGGGACGCCTGGGTGGCTTAGTCCATTAAGTGTCTGCCTTCAGCTCAGGTGATCATCCCAGAGTCCTGGGATTGTCCCACATCAGGCTCCCTGCTCAGGAGCAGGGAGCCTGCTTCTCCCGTTGCTTGTGCTCTCACACTCTCTCTCTGACAAATAAAATCTTTTAAAAAAAGAAGAGAGAAGTGTATTACCATAGTCCCCCCCCCCCTGGGAAAGTCTTTTAGATATCATTAGTATTTAATAATTTTTCAGCAACCCATTACTGATAATTTGAGTTAGTTTGTGTAGCACGTCATTTTTATTTTTAAGAGATTTTTTTTCACCATTTAATAAATTCTTTAACTCACAACAGCTTTTTTTTGGGGGGGGGGATTTCCTGTGCATTAAGATGAATTTAGAAGAAATGCTTTATCGTGCTCTTTGCAAGTACAGCGGTATCATGACCTGTTTCTCATTTAATCTAGTTTGCTGCATTTAATTGCTATTAACCTTTGCAGAAACTGATCAGTGTTCAGACAGGCATGATTTTAGCCCTAGTGCTCAACACCCATAATGGAGAAAAATGTATTTCTCCCTCCTGCCTTTTGGCCTCCTATGTCCATTACTGGGAATAATTAGGAAAACTGTCAGAACTTTTGTAGCCTATTTAAGGTCTAGAGTATAATCTTACTGCTTTTTCCACACCTTTACTTCACATTTTGCATATTTAATCTGATCATTCTTGGCACAGATGTTACATGTGACAAGCTCTTCTCTTCCATAGTCATCTGCTTCAGTTTAATTAGCAGAATGTTCTTTCTGATCTGTGTGCTTTGCCCTCCTGCAAACCCATGAGAAGCAGTGTTAGAGTCTTGTGCTCATTTGCTGACATGCTTAGATTTGGTAATGAGATGGAAGGACTCTTAATAGGCATGTACCTTCGATAATTGTATTTTGCAATCAGAAGATGTTTTTCACTTTAGACAGAAACTAATTTTTATGTACATTTAGACTTTTTGAAAAATCTTGCCATGACAATAACAAAAATCACTTGGAAGTGAAATATTTTAATGAGTAATTTCCAGAATATATGAAGCAAATTTGAGTTGTTGACCTGTTCCTTTTCACTGGTTCCTGCCTTGGGAGTAATTAAGAGCCATAGGACCTCGAAGTCAGGGTTGAGGCTGCCTTTCTCCAGCCTACTCCAGACATAAACTTGCCAGATCTCCTTTCTACACCAGAAATAGGTCAGCTATCAGATCAGATGCCTTTTGTGACCCCCTTTTCCCTAATAATTGCAATAGCAGTAACTATAGCATCATAATTAGGATGATGATGACGGCACCAAACACTTCTCCAGCTCAGTTTGCCCGCTAGTGCTTGGCTATTTAAATATGTTAACTCATTTGTTCTTTATAGCACTCCTGTGAGGTAGGAACTATTACAATGTTTTGTTTTGTAATGGAGGAAACAGAAGGATTAACTGGCTTGCTTCATCACGCAGCTACTGGTAAGGATATAGTCAAATGAGGATTTGAACCTCATCAGTTTGGCTATAGGAGCTGTGGTCCTAACTACAGATCAGTCTATCAAATAGACTAAGCCAGAGGTTCCCAAACTTTCAGTTCATGGCACCTTTGGGGTGTCTAAATTTTTTTTTATGATACCCTATAGGCCAAAAGAAATGCTTAACATATTTCCTAACAAATGTGATAACCATTTGAAAAAAAATAGTGTATACTGAATTGAGAGATTCTTAATGTTTTTCATTAAATAAGCACAGTTACTAATGGGATGTATATGGTTGTTGACAACTCGAAACCACCTCAAACCTTGGAATTAGATTGGACAGACCACTTCTTCTCAAAGATAAGCTGTCAGTGAAGGGAATGTTGAAACTGTGAGCTATCTAATGTTGAAACCGTGAGCTGTTTTGAACTAGTTGCTCATGTGATACCTGACAATATGGAGTGTTTCTGCATATTTCATTAACTTAGAAAATTAAAACTATCCCATAGTACCCTGTAAGTTTGATATGGTGCCCCAGCAATGGGAACATGGGTCTAAACTCTTGCTCTGCAGAAATAACAGTATGTGGAGCAACAGGTTTGTTTTTTTTTTTTTCCTTTCCTTGTTTTGTTTTGTTTTGTTTTGTTTGAGGGAGAGAGAATCTTAAGCAGGTTCCATGTTCAATGCAGAGCCTAACAGGGCTTGATCTCATGACCCTGTGATCATGACCTGAGTTGAAGTCAAGAGTCGGACACTCAACTGACTGAACCATCCAGGAATCCCCTTCAAGTTTTTTAATTTTGATGAAGTCAAATTTACCCTATTTTTGCTTGTACTTTTGTTGTTAGATCTCAGAAACCATTGCATAATTCACAGGAAGATTTGTCCCTGGGTTTTCTGTAGTCTTTGCTCTTATATTTAGGCTTTTGGTCCATTTAGAGTTTATTTCTGAATATGGAGAAAAATAACACTTGAGAAGTAATGGAGATCCTGCTTTTCTTTTTTATTTAATTCCAGTATAGTTAACATACAGTGTAGTATTCGTTTCAGGTATACAGTATAGTGATTCAAGAATGCTGTACATTACTCAGTGCTCATCATGATAAGTATATTCCCCTCCCTCTGGTAATCATCAGTTCTCTGTAGTTAAGACTGTTTCTTAGTTTATCTCTCTCTCCTTTTCCTTTGCTTTTTGTTTTGTTGCTTAAATTCTACATTGAGGGAAATCTTGGTATTTGTCCTCCTCTGACTTATTTTCACTTAGCATTATTATGCTCTCGCTCCGTCCATGTTGTTGCAAATGGCAAGATTTAATTCTTTTTTGTGGCTGAGTAAATATTCCGTAGTATATATGTATTGTAGTATATATGTATACCACATCTTCTTTATCCATTCATCTGTTTGTGGATATTTGGGCTGCTTCTATGATTTGGCTATTGCAAGTAATGCTGCATTAAACATAGGGGTGCATGTATCTCTTTGAATTAGGTTTTTGTATTTTTGCGGTGAATGCCCAGTGTGTGGCTACTGGATTGTAGGGTAGTTCTGTTTTTAACTTTTTGAGGAACCTCCATACTGTTTTGCTACAATGGCTGCTTTGGTTTGCATGCCTACCAACAGTGCATGCTGATTCCTTTTTCTCCATATCTTCGCCAACACTTGTTGTTTCTTGTGTTTTTGATTTTAGCCATTCTGACAGGTGTGAGGTGATAGTTCACTGTGCTTTCTGATTTGCATTTCCCTGATGACGAGTGATGATGTGTGTCTTTCCTGTGCCTGTTGGCCATCTGGATGTCTTCTTTGGAAAAATGTTTGTTCATTTCTTCTGCCCATTTTTTAATTGGATTATTTGTTGGGCATTGAGTTGTCTCAGTTGTTTATATATTTTGGATGCTAATCCTTTATCAGACACGTCATTTGCAAATATCCTCTCCTATTCAGTAAGTTGCCTTTTAGTTATTTCCGTTGCTGTGCAGAAACTTTTTATTTTGATGTAGTCCCAATAGCTTGGTTTTGCTTTTGTTTGCCTTGTCTCCTTGTCTCAGGCGACCTTTCTAGACAAATGTTGCTGTGGTCAATGTCAGTGAAATTACTGTGCTCTCTTCCAGGACTTTACTGGTTTCAGGTCTCACATCTAGGCCTTTAATCCATTTTAAATTTACTTTTGTGTATGCTGTAAGAAAGTGGTTAATTTTTAGTTTCCTTCTTTTGTATGTAGCTTTCCCAGTTCCCAACACATTTTGTTGAGGACACGATCTTTTTCCCATCACATATTCACTCCTGCTTTGTTGAATCTTAATTGACCGTATCATTGTAGGTTCATTTTTGGGTTTTTTTTTTTAATATATATTTTTTAAGATTTTATTTATTTATTTGACAGAGAGATCACAAGTAGGCAGAGAGGCAGGCAGAGAGAGAGGAGGAAGCAGACTCCCTGCTGAACAGAGAGCCCGATGCGGGGCTCGATCCCAGGACCCTGAGATCATGACCTGAGCTGAAGGCAGAGGCTTAACCCACTGAGCCACCCAGGCGCCCCCATTTTTGGGTTTTCTGTTCTGTTCCATTGATCTGTGTGTTTGTTTCTCTGCCAGCACCACATTGTTTTGATTACTAGAGCTTTGTAATATGACTTAAAGTCTGGATTTGTGATAAATCCAGTTTTTTCCTTTTCAAGATTGCTTAAGCTATTTTGGGTCTTTGTCATTTCATACAAATTTTAGGATTGTTGTTCTAGTTCTCTGAAAAATACTGTTGGTATTTTGATAAGGATTGCTTTCTATCTGTGGATTGCTTTGGGAAATATGGACATTTTAACAATATTTATTGTTCCAATCCATAAGAATGGATTGTCTTTCTGTTTCTTTGTATCTTTAAT